ATTAGCAATAATTAGTCCCCTGGGACCCCTGCACTTCTTCCCTCAACTGCTCCATTAACTTGGGTGTGAATCACACATTCCAGGCGCCAATCAATGAAGATCTATCCATAATGTACAAGGTGATGCTATTAGTTACAATATATTAACTACCTAATTTAAAAATAAAAAAGCTATCTTTATGAAGGGCAATTAACCACTAAATGTAATTGATAATTCATAAGCCCCTTGATTAGGAAAGACAAATAATAAGAAAGGAATGAATCACCTGGGCTATTGAGGCAGACATTGTCAGCCCCTGGGTCTGTGTTCACTCCCTCATCAGGAGATCTGCAGATTTCTTCCTAAACTGTGTTTGTCAGCTCCAGGGCCGGGAGGGTCTGGAGGCTTATCAAAGCTGGGGGATGCATGTTTTCACCATGAAAGCCTGTCTGTCTCTTTGGGGGCTTGTAAAAGGACACCCTCAGAGGAGCGGTAGGCATGATCATCTAGATTTTTCCATCAGTCAGTCATTCATCAAACATTTATAGGGGGCCTAGTGTGTGCCAAGCCCATGGGAAGCACTGGGGATATGGAGAGCCAAGCAGACCCTGCTTTGAATTCATGGAGCATGTAGGTCAGGGAGAAAGACAGTAAACAGATACTCATATTGCATGGTTGGAGTTATTGGTTAATGTTATAAAGAAAGAAAAACTGTGTGACCGATAGGCCCAGGGCGGGGCATTGTCATGTAGGATGGTTGGAGGAGGAGACGTTGGACTGAGGCCTGACACCTTTTCCAGTTGTCATCTCTGCTGGCGAGGGTCATTATGTTCTAGTAGCAGCAGGAGTGCCTGCCCGCTCAGCCGTCCCTGACTCCAGCCCCATTTTCTACCTTGCATATACCCCCAACTGCTTTCTGGTGGTCAGACTGGGCCTGGGGTGCTCCATGGAAAGGGGGTGTGGCTGGAAATCACCAATGACCCAAAGAGAGGGGCCTCTCCCTGGCATTTCATGCTAGATTTTGCAGGGACAGATTCTATCTCTAAGACCAATACTTTGATTTTAAAAGCATTTATTTTAGCGAACCAGCAGGTGGCATGGTGGTTAAGGTGCTGGACACGCCCACATGGCTGACCACGGTTCGAATCCTGGACCTGGTGGCTTGCTTTCTCACTTTCCCTCTCTCTCTCTCTCTGTGTGTGTGTATGAAATTAAATTTTGCTTTGGTCAAATTTAAATAAATCCATAAATGAAATAAATAAATAATTCTTTTTTAAAAAAGCATTTATTTTGAATTAACTTCCACTGGTATTTCAAAGGAGACCAATTGCTTAAGTGTCCTGAAATGAGTTGTGTGATTTACTCATTTTTTTGTCCACATCTGAAGTTGTGTTTGGAATAACAGATGTGAGGCACTGTCATCTCACTGTCACACCGATTGTTCACTGTTCTGAGAAGGTCACATCATCATTCATTAGCAATAATTAGTCCCCTGGGACCCCTGCACTTCTTCCCTCAACTGCTCCATTAACTTGGGTGTGAATCACACATTCCAGGCGCCAATCAATGAAGATCTATCCATAATGTACAAGGTGATGCTATTAGTTACAATATATTAACTACCTAATTTAAAAATAAAAAAGCTATCTTTATGAAGGGCAATTAACCACTAAATGTAATTGATAATTCATAAGCCCCTTGATTAGGAAAGACAAATAATAAGAAAGGAATGAATCACCTGGGCTATTGAGGCAGACATTGTCAGCCCCTGGGTCTGTGTTCACTCCCTCATCAGGAGATCTGCAGATTTCTTCCTAAACTGTGTTTGTCAGCTCCAGGGCCGGGAGGGTCTGGAGGCTTATCAAAGCTGGGGGATGCATGTTTTCACCATGAAAGCCTGTCTGTCTCTTTGGGGGCTTGTAAAAGGACACCCTCAGAGGAGCGGTAGGCATGATCATCTAGATTTTTCCATCAGTCAGTCATTCATCAAACATTTATAGGGGGCCTAGTGTGTGCCAAGCCCATGGGAAGCACTGGGGATATGGAGAGCCAAGCAGACCCTGCTTTGAATTCATGGAGCATGTAGGTCAGGGAGAAAGACAGTAAACAGATACTCATATTGCATGGTTGGAGTTATTGGTTAATGTTATAAAGAAAGAAAAACTGTGTGACCGATAGGCCCAGGGCGGGGCATTGTCATGTAGGATGGTTGGAGGAGGAGACGTTGGACTGAGGCCTGACACCTTTTCCAGTTGTCATCTCTGCTGGCGAGGGTCATTATGTTCTAGTAGCAGCAGGAGTGCCTGCCCGCTCAGCCGTCCCTGACTCCAGCCCCATTTTCTACCTTGCATATACCCCCAACTGCTTTCGGTCTTTCTTTCTGAGAGGACGGGGCCTGCGCACCTGCTCATCCACCATTGTGGGCTGGTCTTCCCACTGGACTGCCTGCCTTTCCTTCCTGTCTTCTGTCCACCCTGCAAGACTCTAGTTGGGCTTGGATCTTGGAGGTCTCTCTCTCTGTCTCTCCGGCAAGTACACACGCCCTATAGCAAATTAAGAGAAAAAGAAAAATATACCACTTGAAAGGATTGGTGAAGATACCTTTCTGTATCTGTGAAGACCAGTGAAATGGATATTTAAGGGGAACCAGCAGTTAGCGTAATGGCTATGTCGCTGGACTCCCACGTAGTCGAATGCGATTCGCGTCCTGGACCCAGTGGCTTAAAACTCAGCTGGGCACGTGTGCGTGCGTGCCCAAGATCCTGAGAGGAGAATGGAGGAGAAGGGACTGTGGTGTGACCATCCCCCCTGGGGGGTGATTTCTCGCTTTCTGTCTGTATGTCTCTCTCTGTCTGTCTGGCGAGTGCACGCGCCCTATAGAGAAAATCTCTCCAAAAAAAAAAAAAAAAAGAAAAACACGTTATGACTTTTCTGTCTCTCTATATATGTATATACATATATAGAGAGACAGAAAAGTCATAACGTGTTTTTCTTTTTTTTTTTTTTTTAATAATTACTTTATTTATTTATTTCAATTCAACCAGAGAGGGACAGAGAGAGAGAATGAGAAAGCAAGCCGCCAGGTCTGGAATTCAAACCTCAATCGGCCATGTGGAAGTCCAGTGCCTTTAACCACCATACCACCTGCTGGCTCCTTATGTTTTTCTATGCAAAAATGCGTCATGATTTTTCTGACAAATATACATATATATTTATAGTTTCTGCTCCAGAGTGCATACATTCACTAGAGAGAGGAAGAGAGAGCAAGTAAGAAATCACCCCCGGGGGGATGGCCATACCACAATCCCTTCTCCATTCTCTAGGGATTTGGGGCACATATATGCATGTACTCCATGTGTTTTTCAAGCCACCAAGTCTGGAACCACACAGTGGGACATATGGGCTCCAGCTACCCACTGGCTGGCCCTGCATTGCTTCTTTTTTTAAAAAAAATATTATTTAATCTTATCTATTCATTCATTTATTTTAATTTGATCAGAGGGAGACACAGAGAGAGAGAGGGAAAGGGAGAAAGGAAGCCACCAGGTCCGGGACTCGAACCGTGGTTGGCCATGTGGGAGCATCCAGCACCCTAACCACCATGCTACCTGCTGGTCCCAGCCCTGCATTGCTTCTGGCACCTTCTCTCCCCAAAGGTGTCAGCTCCAGAGTTGCTTCCCCAGAAATGCCTCTCCCAGACTTCCCCCATCACACGTGGTCACTCTCTGTCTTTTTGCCTCATTTAAATCCTTTGAACGACCTCCCTTTTCTGTCACTAATTGCCCTTCCTCTGTGCATTTCTTGTTTGTGGCCTACTTCCCATCTGACTTGTGGCCTGAAGGACAGGAATCTTGCCCATGGTCACAGCTCCAGTTCTGTGCACTAGCCCAGTGCCAGGCACTTAGAAGGTACTCGGTAACTTTTGTTTAAAGGTTATTTGTTTATTTTTTCATGAGTGAAAGGGACAGAGAGAGAGAGAGGGAGGCAGAGAAACAGACAGATAGCCACTGCCTACAGGGTCCTTATGCTGTGATCCACCCCGGCCAGCCAGCCCTGGATCACGGCTCGCACACCCAGCACATGCAGGGAGGTCCTGAACGTGCAACTTCTCCAGGTGGGTCAGCCTCGAAGAAGCTCCTGTCACTGCTGTGCCACCTTCTGACCCTCGCCCGTACTTATAGATGATTGAATGCTATTTTGGGGGGGAGCTCTTTATACATCTGTTTTGGGAGGTTTGTGGGATGTGGCAGGTCTCCTGTAAAGTCAGACAGGAGGAATCTCAAATCGGCTGCATTTCAGGTTTACGTTCCTTCCTGCTGGGTTTGTGCAGGGTCAGGGGTCCCATCTGTCTGAAATGGTGTGTGTCCCTGATGACTTTGTCTGGCAAACCTTTCTTCATTGATAGTGATGGGAAGACAAACCTTGACTTGGTCCCTCTGCTTTTGCACTTCTTGAGAGATCTGGATCTAGAGTTAATAAGGTGTGAACACGTGTAGCTCAAAGGCCAAGGCAATGCTAGTTGTATGGAAAGGTACAGGTAGATAGCTGTGGGCCCTCAGGGGTGACCTCTAGCCAGGCTGAGTGGAGTGGAGGAGGGCAGGTGCTGAGTAGGTCTCGGGGAGGGTAGACATGGTACAGGTGTAAAGGTAACATGTCCCAGGTAAAGGGGGCAGAGATGCTTCCCAGGTAGAGGGAGAAGAGATGCATCACAGGTAGAGGGCAGAGATATGTCCCAGGAAGAGGGAGAGGAGTGGAGGACCTTGGGGCATCTTAGGTGTGCATTTAGTCCAGCTATGACGAAAAGGAGGGTTATGGGAGCATGTCTGTTGTAGCTCAGAAATCCTAGCTGAAACACATCTGGGGGTCTGTCAGCGCCACCTCGGAGATCCATGGTGACCTGGCTTGTTCTTGTATTTTACTGCTTATCTTCAGAGAATTATCTGTCTTTGGGTTCTTTTCCAGGAGACCACACACTTCATGCATTGACAACACCCTTGACCTATCGTTTTCCCCCACCCCAGACTGAAGCAGTCCGGGCTGAAGGTGAGATTCTGCACGAATGAGTCCCAGAAGTCTGTGGGTGAACTGGTGAGGCTGCTTCGGCAGCTGGGATTCGACATTTCCGAGGGGGAGGTGACATCCCCAGCACCAGCCACCTGCCAGATCCTGAAGGAGCGAGGCCTGCGGCCATACCTACTCATCCATGACAGTAAGCCTGCTGGGCCCTGAGACCTCATGGGAGCAAGGCATCTCTTTATGAGGGTGGGGCCTGGGGAAAGGACCTCCACTCTCACCCGTGCCAAACTGCTGGGAAAGACAGAGGTAACACCTGACCACGACCACGACATGCATGGGCCTGTGGGGTAGAAACCTCACGGTGCTACCTGCTAGAGACTGGGAACGAATTGAGATCTAGCCCCTGTCATGCCCCAGGCTCACACCTGAGGGTTGTTAGACTCAGAATTTCGATGGCTTTCCTTGATTTAGGGAATTGTTGGGGAGGGGGGCAAAATTCTCGCTCCTGAGAAAGAACGCACAGCTAGATTGAGGTCCTTAGCTGTAGCACATCTGGCACCCTTAGCTGTGAGCTGTATTTGTGCAAACCAGCCCTGCTCTTTGTGGCAGCATGCAGATGGCTGTAGGAACAAGGTTTGCATCCTGATTTTAGTCTGAATGCAAGAAGAATCTCTTTGACCCTTAGTGGAGAGCTGTTTTGGAACGAAGTAGAAGGAGCAGTATTTGGTGCCTTCTGAATATTTAAAAAGAAGAGACATTAACAACACTTCAGAATTCAGGACACTTCTCTGTCATCCCCCTGATCTGTCTTCCTTCCTTTCCCTGCACTTGATATTTTTATTTTATAAGCGACTGGGCAAAGGCAAGCATGCTTTTTTCCTTCCCAGGGCAAGAGTGGGGGCTCTTGGAGGTGGAGGGTGCTCCCTGGAAGGCCTAAATGTCGAATTCATAGTCCTGGCGCCAATTAGGGGCAGCATGCCCGGCCTTTAGAAATCATGTTTCTCAAAATCCTTTCTCTGTAATCTAGGATCCCTGCCAGTGTCTTTAGAACATGGACCTCAAAGAAAGACCTAAGAAAGAAATTCTCTTCCCCATTGCTTCCCAGAAAGGGGAAGCTGGACAACATGGGAGTGGGAGTGGGGGGTGGAAAAAGAGGGAGGACAAGACAGCCAGCATTTGCCTCGAAAGTGGTATTAACCCATGGTTCAAACAAGCAGATAGCAACGCTCGAGAGCGCCGGAGGGAAAGACAGATGTCCTTCCTCAGCTCCAGTTCTGCGTCCGTGTTCCCAGGAAGTGTACCTGTGTTTTCTGACTGATTTTTTTTCAAGTTCATAGATTACCCCCCCAATGTTCTATTCTGAAAAATTTTAAATATATAGTAAAAATAAAACTCAAATAATTTTTTTATTTTTTATTATTTTTAGTTTTAGTTTTTGGTATATAGTGTGTGTGCACACCAGAGAGAGACGGAGAGAGAGAGGGAGGGAATTCTCCTCAGGATTTTGAGCATGCGTGCGTAAGTGTCTAGTGTGTTTTTCAAGTCACTGGGTCTCGAACCGCAAAGTGGGCCATGTAGGAACCAGCCACCTCAACCACCACACCACCAGCTAGACTGCTCAAGAAATTCTTACATGGAATTTTTTTTCACTTATCACCTAGATATTGTCAATGACTTTTAAAAAAGTTGAGTTTTAGGGACCAGCAGTTAGCGTAATGGCTATGTTGCTAGACTCCCATGTAGTCGACCGTGGTTCACATCCTAGACCTGGTGGCTTAAATCTCATGTTGAGTGTGTGTGTGTGTGTGTGCGTGCCCAAGATCCCAAGAGGAGAATGGAGGAGAAGGGATTGCAGCGTGGCCATTTTCCCTGGGGGGTGATTTCTCACTTTCTATCTCTCTGTCTCTCTCTGTCTAGCGAGTGCATGCGCCCTATAGCAAATTTTTTAAAAAAAAGTTGATTTTTTTCCATAAGAGCAAGAGATAGGGAGAGAGAGAAAGACAGGCCCCTGCCAGCTGTTTCAACTGCTCCATATCCTCCCCAGCACTTGGTGCTGTCAGTCTTTTTAATCCCACTATTCTGCTGGGTGTCAAGTCATATCTCATTGTGATTTCTTTGATTTTTTTTTTTTTAACCAGAAAGGTCGACATCCTAAACTAGGAGAGATGAGAGCATGGTTCTTCTAGGACCTGAAGGCATAAAGCCAGTGATTCTGTTTATCCTTGCAACTTTTCCTCTTTTAATTCAAAATGGGAGGGACAAACAAGAAGGGGGAAGAGACTTAAGGGGGCTAGTGAAGTGGGTTGGTGGGCATGACATTCTGTTGCTTCTTTTCAGGATTTATCTGTGGGTTTACTTGCAATGCATCGATGGCTCTTGCAGTTTGGGGGCATCAGTACCAACCTTCCAAGCGATGCGAGCAGCCTCGTCTCACCCTTCTGCTAGGAGTCTGTGTTCTCCAGGCAGATTTTCCTTCTCAGTTGCCAAGCTAGGAGATTCCTGAGTACGGAACTATGGGGACTCCCGGGCTATTGCTGATGCGTGTTAGGATGGGAAGTCCTGGGAGTGGGTTTATCTTTCTCCAGACAGATTACCCATGGGAGCTTGTTAGAAGAAAAAGTATTAATGTATCTTTTTCTGTAAAATGGGAGTGACACCCTTTTTTTGTCCTCCTCCCTTGGTAATTGTGAGGATTAGAAATAAATAGTACATCTGAGAAAGGGGGAAGAGCAGACATGACAAACAGAAGGTGTCCTTGGTCCCACTAGCGTGGAGCTCAGTCACTTTTGCGTGCTTTCTCTTTCTCTGTCTCTCTAGGTGTCCGCTCAGAATTTGATCAGATCGACACGTCCAACCCAAACTGTGTTGTCATTGCGGAAGCTGGAGAAGGCTTTTCTTATCAAAATGTGAATGATGCTTTCCGGGTACTCATGAAGCTGGAAAATCCTGTGCTCATATCACTGGGGAATGGGTAAGTCAGCCCTGGTTAGTCGTCTGGCTGCTTTGGACCATGCTTTGCAGTTTCTGATTCACAGACTCAGTAAGAAGAATGCAGAAAAGCGGGTACAGAGTATGCACAGGGGCCAGGAGGTGGCATGGTGAAGGCACTAGGCACCTACATGGTTGACCATGATCTGAGCCCTGGACCCGGCAGCTTGAAAATCACACTGGATGTGTATGCGTGCCCAAAATCCAGAGAGGAGACTAGAGGAAAAGGGATTGTGGTATGGCCATCCTCCTGAGGGGTATTTCTCACTTTGCCTCTCTCTCTCTCTCCAATGAGCACATGTGCCCTATGGCAAAAGCCTGGGCTAATGTTGATTAGTTTTAAGATGGAAGGTCCTGGGAGTGGTCTTTTTTTAAAAAATTACTTTATTTAGCTTTATTTATTTATTTTAATTTGACCAGAGAGGGACAGAGTGAAAGAAAGAGCGGAAAAGTGACAAAGCAAGCCACCAAGTCCGGGACTCGAACCATGGTCGACCATGTGGGAGTCCAGTGCCCTTAACCACCAGCCACCTGCCGGCCCTGGGAGTGTTTTTTTTTTTTTTTTTTTTTTTTTTTAAAGACTATGCACAGAGTGACTTTCTTTTCCCTCCCCATCTCCCATCTTATTTATTTATTCATTTATGCTGTTTCTCTTTATGTCTTCTTCCTTCTTCATAACTTTTTAGGGAATTAAAAAATTATATCTTCAGGAACTGGTTGTCTATTGGACCCTAGGCTAGGAGACACTGGTGATGGAGTGGAAGGGGGAGGCCATCAGTTTAGATGGAGATCTCTGGACTATTGCAGAGGTCACGTGTTGATCATCTCAAGTTTAGAGCAGAAAACATTTGTGCAAGGTATTGAGGGATGTAGCAAGGTACTGAAGGATGGTCCCAAGGGACACCCGAGTGGTGAAAAGTAGGCCTGAGTGCCCATGGGATGCTCTGGTTTGGTGCCGAGCATCTCTGACTGTGCAGTGCTATCTCAGCAAAGCTGTGATTTAGTGACCAACATTTTCATCTCTAACACAAACACATGCCTTACCATTTCTTTAAAGAAACCGTTAGGTATTCTTGTTCTTCTTCTTCCTTTTTTTTTTTTTTTAGAGAGAGATTTTTGCCATAGTGTGCGTGCTCTTGCCAGAGATACAGTGAGACAGAAAGGGAGAGATTACCTTCTGGGGAAATGGCCACACTGTGATCCCTTCTCTTCCATTCTCTTCTTGGGATCTTAGGCATGGATGTACACGCAGCCGGTGTGAGTTTTAAGCTGCCGGGTCTGGAACTCAAACCGTAGTCGGCTACGTGGGAGTCCAGGCGATTTAACCATTATTCCATCTACTGGTCCTGAATATTATTCTTAACATCCTGTCTTTATTTTATTTTTTCATTTATTTTATTTATGATAGCACACACAAGAGACAACGACACACAGGAAGAGAGAGAAACACCCTCAACAGGGTCATGTCATGCCATGGTCCCTTTCCCCAGCCCTCCACTTCTCGGGATCTTGGGCTTGCACACACGACTGACTGCTTTCTGAACCTGCAAATGGCCATGTGGCTTCCAGTGCTGCAGTATAGTTTGCTACTAACTGGGCCCCTGGGTTGGGCCGTAACATCTTCTCTTTTCCCTTTCTTTCTTTCTTTCTTTCCTTCTTCCTTTTCTTTTTAGAGTTTTGTGTTTCTCGCTCAGAATTTGATCAGATCATTCAGTCCAAACTGTTTTGTAATTGCAGATGCAGGAGAAGGATTTTCTTTCTTTTTTTTTTTTTTTTTTTTTACGTCAGAGTTTTTTTTATTACATTTTTTTATTATTATTATAATTTTTTTTTTCTTTTCTCATCACAACACACATATGAATTTTCCATCCAAAATACACTGTGCATTGGCTCAATCAAGCACATCAACATATATGTTCTCAGCAAATGATTTCCCAATTTTTGTGTCCTGCATACCTTGCCTTTTGTTTTGCCATCCTAGGTTCCCCATCCCCACCCTCTGCCATGTCCCATCTTCCTCCTCCATTGTCCCTGACATTCATGATTGCCCTCAATGGCTTCCGCCCCCCCC